TGATATTTCAGTTTTTCTTTTTTAATAAATCTGCAAAAATGTCAACAATTCTGTGTTTTTCTGTCAATATGGGGTGCTGTGTGTACATTAATGAGGAAAAAAAATTAACTTAAATGATTTTAGCAAATGGCTGCAATATAACAAAGAGTGAAAAATTTAAGGGGGTCTGAATACTTTCCGTACCCACTGTATATATATATAATGTGTATATGTATATTCATATATGTATATATATTTATATATATATATGTGTGTGTGTGTGTATATATATATATATATATATATATATTAGTTAGCTTAGTTAATTTTATACATGCATTATATATCTATGTATGTGTGTGTATAAAATTAACATTATATGCATTATAAAATAAATGTAAAAAATTTCCGTTTGTTTGTTTACAAGTACGTTGTATACAGTGGGTACGGAAAGTATTCAGACCCCCTTAAATTTTTCACTTTTTGTTATATTGCAGCCATTTGCTAAAATCATTTGTTAATTTTTTTTCCTCATTAATGTACACATAGCACCCCATATTGACAGAAAAACACAGATTTGTTGACATTTTTGCAGATTTATTCAAAAAGAAAAACTGAAATATCACATGGTCTTAAGTATTCAGACCCTTTGCTGTGACACTCATATATTTAACTCAGGTGCTGTCCATTTCTTCTGATCATCCTTGAGATGGTTCTACACCTTCATTTGAGTCCAGCTGTGTTTGATTATACTGATTGGACTTGATTAGGAAAGCCACACACCTGTCTATATAAGACCTTACAGCTCACAGTGCATGTCAGAGCAAATGAGAATCATGAGGTCAAAGGAATTGCCTGAAGAGCTCAGAGACAGAATTGTGGCAAGGCACAGATCTGGCCAAGGTTACAGAAAAATTTCTGCTGCACTTAAGGTTCCTAAGAGCACGGTGGCCTCCATAATCCTTAAATGGAAGACGTTTGGGATGACCAGAACCCTTCCTAGAGCTGGCCGTCCGGCCAAACTGAGCTATCGGGGGAGAAGAGCCTTGGTGAGAGAGGTAAAGAAGAACCCAAAGATCACTGTGGCTGAGCTCCAGAGATGCAGTCGGGAGATGGGAGAAAGTTGTAGAAAGTCAACCATCACTGCAGCCCTCCACCAGTTGGGGCTTTATGGCAGAGTGGCCCGACGGAAGCCTCTCCTCAGTTCAAGACACATGAAAGCCCGCATGGAGTTTGCTAAAAAAACACCTGAAGGACTCCAAGATGGTGAGAAATAAGATTCTCTGGTCTGATGAGACCAAGATAGAACTTTTTGGCCTTAATTCTAAGCGGTATGTGTGGAGAAAACCAGGCACTGCTCATCACCTGTCCCAACAGTGAAGCATGGTGGTGGCAGCATCATGCTGTGGGGGTGTTTTTCAGCTGCAGGGACAGGACGACTGGTTGCGATCGAGGGAAAGATGAATGTGGCCAAGTACAGGGATATCCTGGACGAAAACCTTCTCCAGAGTGCTCAGGACCTCAGACTGGAACTAAGGTTTACCTTCCAACAAGACAATGACCCTAAGCACACAGCTAAAATAACGAAGGAGTGGCTTCACAACAACTCTGTGACTGTTCTTGAATGGCCCAGCCAGAGCCCTGACTTAAACCCAGTTGAGCATCTCTGGAGAGACCTAAAAATGGCTGTCCACCAACGTTTACCGTCCAACCTGACAGAACTGGAGAGGATTTGCAAGGAGGAATGGCAGAGGATCCCCAAATCCATGTGTGAAAAACTTGTTGCATCTTTCCCAATAAGACTCATGGCTGTATTAGATCAAAAGGGTGCTTCTACTAAATACTGAGCATTTTTCAGTTTTTCTTTTTTAATAAATCTGCAAAGATGTCAACAATTCTGTGTTTTTCTGTCAATATGGGGTGCTGTGTGTACATTAATGAGGAAAAAAAATTAACTTAAATGATTTTAGCAAATGGCTGCAATATAACAAAGAGTGAAAAATTTAAGGGGGTCTGAATACTTTCCGTACCCACTGTATATATATATATATTTCATGTTCTGGTTCAGGGTTTCTTTAAGTAGGTCCTCAAACTAAGTAAAAATCATATAACTATTATAACAAAATAATTATAAAATACACTTTAAAAAGTAAAAAAAAAAATGTTTGGGTTATGGTTTGCAAAATCAAATTTATTTAAAAATCTCAATTTTTATTATTCTATTTATATTATTTCCATCTTAGTTGTTGGAAACATTTAAAGGTATTAATTTAGCATATCTAATATTCATTATCTGAAGATGGCGCAAGTGTATATCCATTGATTCTTAATTTTGGGTAACAGTAACTTGACCAGTTTGATGATATTGCTGACTCTGCTTATGATCGGTGTATGTTTGCTGCAGTCTCTCTGCTATCAGCTCAGTCCAGAAGTATAGGGTTAGTTTGAGACGGAGATTGTAATGCAGGTTAATGATTAAACAAACTCGATGCATGTTTATTCAGTGTCCCGCTGAAGCTCCAGCTTCTGATCAGTTCTGCTCCGGATGAACGCAGCGCTTATTTGAATGAAGACATGCATACAGTGCATCTGTCACGACGGTGGTTTGAATTGAGAAATCCTGCTGCGCTTCTTGTGCAAATAACATCATTGTAGCTAAATGGTCATAAAAAAAAAATAGTCACACTGTTCACGGTCAAAAATGACCGCCATTGGAAATTAATGGGAAATACGCAAAAATACAGAGAATTTTTGTGTGTGTACAATCTACAAATCATTCACGATGCAGAAAAAACCTGCACAGCAATGAAGGGGTGACACTCTAAAATATCAGGAGTGCAAAACAGACTCAGACACACACACTATTATACACACACACACACTCACTCTCTCACACAAACACACACACTATTATACACACACACACACACTCACTCTCTCTCACACACACACACACACACACACACTATTGTACACACTCACTCTCTCACACACACTATTATACACACACTCTCTCACATGATAAAGTATTCCTGTTCATTTTTGTTGAATTTTGAGGTTATGTGAAAAATGTCTTTGTGTTCAGGTTTGACTGTAGTAAAATTAATGCAAAAACTGACATTTCAAACCAACATTACACACACAACTAGAGCATTTATAAGGCTGTTCTATAGAGTTCTATAGGAATCTAGTGGCTAAAGCACAGAATTTCAGATGTTTTTCTTTTTTTTACTCCCACCAGATGGCACTAATCTGCCTTCAAAAATTGGATTTTAAAGGCATTGTCTCTATTTTAACATGAAATACTGCCATAATTGAAGATATAACAATTTTAGATTTTTTTTAAATAATTATTTTCAATGGGAAAAATGTATTATAATTATTGCATAAATATTAATTAGTATGATGGAATTGCCTCAAAATACAAAATAAAAAATATTACTGAATTAAAATATATTACATTGATTTTACTGAAAATAAAAAAAAAGTTACATTTCAGGTGTCCGGTCACGTTTGACCGCGAACAACACCAGAGGGTTAATAAACGCTTTTATCCAAAGTGATTTACAAAAGAGAAACAAAAGCCATTTAGCAGGAGAACAATAATCGTAATATGCAACGGCAAGCTTTCTTTAGACAACTAAATTAGGAACATTATTATTATTGAGGGTTTCTGCAAGTTTCATGAAGGTAAATAAGCCTTTTTAAGACCAATAATTAAAAAAAAAGAAGGATGTTTTCTAAATGTAAATGTCTAGAGAGAACACAATTAGTTTTCCCAAATTTACCTTCAAAGACTGATTATACAGCTTCCAAACGATCTCCATTAATTTTTAATTTTACAAAATAAATAAATAATAATAAAAAACACCTTTAGTAAAATACGGAAAAACTTTTACTGTTTCTTCTGATCACACTGCAAAAAGTGCTGTTCTTCACCGGTATTTTTGTCTTGTTTTACAGTAAAAATGTTTAAAGATTTAATTAACTTTAATGAAGATGCAAAAATAACATGATAAGCAGTCTTGTTTCTGAGAAATGTATCGTGATGAAGTGATTTTTTATTTTAAAATAATAAGAAAAATATCTGCCAGTGAGCTCAGAAAAATCTGCTTAAAGTGAAACAAGTTTTAATTCCCCATTGACAGAAGTTTGCTCTTATTTTACGCTTAAACTCAAAATAAAACTTCATATCTTCATTTGTCTCCAGTAAATGTATCTTGACTTACTGATGTTTAGATTTTTGTACTGGAAAACAAGACAAAAATAGTGAGGAAGATATTCGTTTTTTGCAGTGCATGCTAAATTTAATGCCACGACTTTAAGACGTTCACATTTGTGACCCTGGAGCACAAAACCAGTCTTAAAGGTCCCCTGAAGTGCCTTGAAACACGCAGCGTTATTCTATGTGGTGACGTAATTTCAACTGAAACGGGAAGAGAGGGCGGGACATATCGAGCAGCCCCGCCCCCTTTTTAAAATTGCCAATAGCGTTTTGTTTATATCTGCTCGGGTCAAAGCTGCCGCATTTGACAGCCACAGTCTAATAGATTACCCCCTAGATTCAATATGAAACTCTTAGTAAAACAAAATAGTGACCATAATCATGCTGAGGCTGTGTAGTTGTAAAAGTGTTTAAAATATGCCGACTCGCGCATATGATCCGCTCCGTGCGATCGCGTCTCTGGACCGGAGCCAAAGTTTGCCGCAGTTCGCTGATTAGTAATATGCATTGCTAAGAACTTCATTTGGACAACTTTAAAGATGATTTTCTCAATATTTAGATTTTTTTGCACCCTCAGATTCCAGATTTTCTAATAGTTGTATCTCAGCCAAATATTGTCCTATCCTAACAAACCATACATCAATGGAAAGATTATTTATTCAGCTTTCAGCTGATGCATACATCTCAATTTAAAAAAATTGACCCTTATGACTGGTTTTGTGCTCCAGGGTCACATTTAGGACCTTAATTTGTGGAAAGATGAATTAAGACTTGAACTGTTGTACAGTTTCCATTTGATTAAAGTTTATTTCATCTGATTAGAGTCTGGAGAATCAACCAGCGCCCGAGTCACCAACAGAACCAGAGCAAAATCCACATGCAGTCTTGGAGAAAGAACAAGATTTAGTCTTGGAGGGGAGAAACAAAAGTGTGGACTTGCAGAATAAAACAGATTTAGGCTTGAAGAATCAAACTGGTGACCTTTTGGGGGAAAACACAGAGCCAGACTTGAAGCCAAAGCCAAATTCAGACTCGGCTCACCAGCCAATGAAGAAAACTGAAGAAAATGCAGACTCACGGACCAAAACTGATTCAAATCCCAAACCCCCAAAAGTACTTGATGAGGATTTCTTGGGTCCGGCCCAGTGTCTGAATCAGAAATACACATGGCTGTCTTGCTCTAAAGTGTTTTGTCCTCCATGGAGGCGATGCATCGGAGGACAGTGTGTCTGTAAGATGCCGTACAAATGTCCACGGCTGAAAAACACCTGTACTCTGGACGGATCCGTGTATTACTCCATGTGTCAGGCCAACGCCATCTCCTGCAGAACCAAGACGCCCACTTTCTCACACTTCAGCTCATCCTGCAAAGGTGAAAACAAAAATATTACGTTATCAATCTAGTACGGCATTAATGAACAAAATGGATGAACCATTTTTCCAGAGTAAGTTCTTTGGAGTTTAACAGAAGTTCTTGATGTGTCTTTATAGGTCCTGCATTGGTGTCTAGGTGCTTTAGAAAAGCATTTATCTAACCCTAAATGCTTTCGAGAAATAGAATAAACTATTTTTTGTGGCTCTCTTTGGACATGAGATTGATCCGGTCTAATAGGGAAATTTATTTTTAGCCCTTGTTTTATGTTAAACGTCTGGGTATAAATGTTCCAGGTCAAAACGACCCTCATTGGATTCAACACAATTCACCAAAAATTACACTATGGAAAAAAACAAACATGTAAATACAGTAATTCTAACATTAATACTTCTCCCACATTTTTATCCTAATTTTTAAAGCTGTATTTAACAACTATTTTTAATTGCTTTTCACAAAATGTGCAAATTATTAACAGTATTTTAACATTTATTTGATTTTTATATGTGTCCCTGGAGCACAAAAGCAGTGTTAAGTCGCTGGGGTATATTTGTAGCAATAACCAACAATACATTGTATGGGTCAAAATTATCGATTTTTTCTTTTATGCCAAAAATCATTAGGATATTAAGTAAAGATCATGTTCCATGAAGATATTTTGTAAATTTCCTACTGTAAATATATCAAAACTTAATTTTTGATTAGTAATATGCATTGCTAAGAACTTCATTTGAACAACTTTAAAGATGATTTTCTCAATATTTAGATTTTTTTTGCACCCTCAGATTCCAGATTTTCAAATAGTTGTATCTCGACCAAATATTGTCCGATCCTAACAAACCATACATCAATGGAAAGCTATTTATTCAGCGTTCAGATGATGCATAAATCTCAATTTTGAGAAATTGAACCTTATGACTGGTTTTGTGCTCCAGGGTCACAAATGTATTTATTTCTAAATTTACTCGTTTACATTTTTTGATGCTTTCTAGAAGTGCAAACAGTGAGCATGGCAACGCTAAGATCATGGGTTTGATTCCCAGCAAAATTCACAAACATGAACCGATTAAAAATTAAATTTTGCGATTAAAAATGCGATTAAAAAACGCAGTGTGCATTTCTTCAAACAAAAATGTCAGCCAACTGCATGAATGTAAATAGTCAGACAACAGTTGCATAAAGGACGACATAAAATTCGCAGTTTTTCAAAATTATTTTACATTTGCAGGTCAAAACGACCCACTAACATCACTACCGGAATAGAAATGTCAGACTGCCAAAACTTTGCAGGCCAAAATGAGAAACAATCATGCAAGTTCAAGAATAAAATCATAGCTTAACCAGTATTTCCAACAACTCAAAAGGTGTTCGGGTCAAAATTGACCCGGAACATAATACAAGGGTTAAGAGTGTCAGATGATTTGGTGTGTGATTAGAAAGTATTCAACTTTTCCATACATGTTTGTGTCCAGCGGGAGACAAGGTGCATGTGAGCGTCTCTAAGTCTCGTAACGTGGTCGAGATAAAAACTCATTTGGGGAAAATGCTGGTATGTGGCAAGGACTGGAATATGGCTGCAGCAAATGTGGTTTGTCGAAACCCTCTGAATGTCGACAGGTAAACACACCTGCACACAAGACGTCCTTTCTCTCGACTCAACATGTACTGATTGCTTACATTGTTCTTTCTGTCTCTCAGAGGAGCAGAGAATGCGTCTAAAATCAAATATATATCTCTTGGTAAAGCTACTCAATGGCCAAATGAGTGTATGAGGATTCGCTGCATGGGATCTGAGCTCTCATTGGCCGAGTGTACGATCCATAATCCAGAGCCAATCACAGCAAACACTGAGGTGGCCGTCGCAAAGTGTTATAAGGAGCCTACAGGTGCCCTTTCCTCTCGGATGTCGTCACCATGTTAATGTTTAATGTTAATCTGTTGTTTGACACTTCTCTCACTCACACTGATGGGTTTTCTCTTGAGTAGGCGAATGTAAGAAGTTCATCTGTATGAACGGGAAGTGTTTAGGCCATGAAAAAACCTGCAATGGTGTTGATGACTGTGGAGACAACAGTGACGAGATGTGCTGCCAAAGTGAGTCTGACAACTTCCTGTTTTACACAATCCCGTCTGTTTTTCCCTTCATGTCGCTGTTTAGAACAGAACACTGCATTGAACCCATGACTTTAGCGTTGCTGGCGTGAAGTGCACTGATAATCCTGATTTTACTGTTTCTGCTGTGTGAAGAATGTCGAGGCCAGGCGTTCCTCTGTAAGTCGGGTGTCTGTATACCCCAACACGCCTTCAAAGACGGAATCAGGGACTGTCTGGGAGGAGAAGATGAACTCAATGGTCAGTGAACTCTTTGAGATCTCATTACTGCTCAATATATTCAGGATTCGGCTTCTGAATGCAGAAACAGCTTTTAACTTGAGAAATCTTCAGGTTCATCAAAGGTCCTGGTCAGACAGGACTCATTTGTCCTGAGGAGAGAAATCTATGTGAATTTAATTGCAAAAAAAAAATGTTTTAAATCAACCACATCGGTTTTCTTCACACAACCACGTTACAATTATGGTGCTTTTGTTTTCTAGAGAACGGATGAACCAAAGAACAAGCGAAACTAGAGACAGAAAGAACAAGAAAAAGAGAGAATAAGGAAGGACCATATTGAAAGAAAGAATGAGAACGAGAGAGAGAGAGTGAAAAAGAGAACGAGACAAAGACAGAAAAAGAACAAGAATGAAAGAACAGAGAACAAACGAAAGAACACGATTAGAAGGATAATACTGAATGAATGATCGAAAAGAAAGAACAAGACGAACAAACAAGAGAGGGAAAGAACCGATTAACGAAAGAAAGAAAGAAAGAAAGAAAGTCAATTTTAAACGAATACAGTGATAATAATTGTAAGAAGGTACTTGCAAACTTCAAACAGACCAGAAATATTTTTACGTTTCTGCTCTTTCCTTTGTGTTACAGAAAACAATGGAACAAAAACTAAAAAAATGGAAGACGTTTTTTCCGATCCGATGTCAGGTAAGAACAAACTCATCTGAAACGTCACATCTAATGTTGGTCACTTCAACAAAAAAAAAATCTCTGGAGGATCCCCTTCTAGATCTGGTCAAAGTTTGAAGTTTAGTAATTGTAGTCGGTGTCTGGAGCGAATCCACGGGATCCAGAGGTTCAGGCTGGTGTGTTTAGTTTTGAACCATACAGCTGAATCAACATCTGCTCACACTCCCTCCATCATGTTGTTCCAGAGATCAGAGAAATCCGCTCGTCTGCAGAGAGCCAGCTGCAGTGCGGCGTTCCCAATACGGAGTATGTGTACAAACAGGAGGACGATGCGACTTCCCGTACACGCAGGAAACGCTTAGTAGGAGGGGAAGAGGCCTTACCGGTCAGTCTTGAGAAATAAAAACCGAAAAGTCGATATGACAATAACCTGATAGATAGCACTCGTACATCACGGAGACGTCTATTTGACGTCTGCATTACATCTGCAAGACGCATTTTTTTAGAGCGTTTGCTCATCTGCGATACTACGTCTATAGGACGTTTCCTATCAGATGTCAAATAGACGTTTAGAAGATGTCTTTAAGATGTTTATGATGTAAAACTGACATCTTAGAGACGTCTATCAGATGTTTGTACACAGCAGATGCTTTCCAGATGAAGAGATCTTTAACAGACGTCTTGCAGACGTACCTGTGCTATCTGGAATGTAATTTAATCGCTAAACAAATAAAATTTAACTAGGCAGCACATAAATAATTTTTTTTTTTTTTAATTCCATTTGTTTTGGTTTTTACAAATGCCAACCAGTAAGGAATGACCTCTGCGTGTGACTTTTGTAGACTCAGATACAGTGGCAGGTGGCCATTCAGGATGAAGGTACGATCCACTGCGGAGGGGCGTATTTGGGCGGCTGCTGGGTTTTGACCGCCGCCCACTGCGTCAGGTACAACCAATCACCACACGTTTTGATCAAACTGTACGGAACCACTACTAAAAACCAATTGTATGCTTGTGTGTCTCTAGGCCCAAACCGAAGTCCTTCCGAATCAAGTTCTCTCTCTGGATGAAGCATCGTAAGCAGTCGACGACAGACAGCATCCCGGTGAAGAACATCATCATCCATCATGAATATAACCCTCAAACCTATGCGAACGACATCGCTTTGGTGCAGCTAGAGGAGCTGAATCTTTCAGACAAGTGCATGCAGGACAATCCCGCGGTCCGAGCCGTCTGCGTGCCCTGGTCCACCCAACAGTTCCAGCCCAACGACACCTGCACCATCTCCGGCTGGGGCCGCGATAGAGGTTCGGCTCTACATGTCAAATAATGCACAGAAATGGAGTATGTGTACAAACAGGAGGACGATGCGACTTCCCGTACACGCAGGAAACGCTTAGTAGGAGGGGAAGAGGCCTTACCGGTCAGTCTTGAGAAATAAAAACCGAAAAGTCGATATGACAATAACCTGATAGATAGCACTCGTACATCACGGAGACGTCTATTTGACGTCTGCATTACATCTGCAAGACGCATTTTTTTAGAGCGTTTGCTCATCTGCGATACTACGTCTATAGGACGTTTCCTATCAGATGTCAAATAGACGTTTAGAAGATGTCTTTAAGATGTTTATGATGTAAAACTGACATCTTAGAGACGTCTATCAGATGTTTGTACACAGCAGATGCTTTCCAGATGAAGAGATCTTTAACAGACGTCTTGCAGACGTACCTGTGCTATCTGGAATGTAATTTAATCGCTAAACAAATAAAATTTAACTAGGCAGCACATAAATAATTTTTTTTTTTTTTAATTCCATTTGTTTTGGTTTTTACAAATGCCAACCAGTAAGGAATGACCTCTGCGTGTGACTTTTGTAGACTCAGATACAGTGGCAGGTGGCCATTCAGGATGAAGGTACGATCCACTGCGGAGGGGCGTATTTGGGCGGCTGCTGGGTTTTGACCGCCGCCCACTGCGTCAGGTACAACCAATCACCACACGTTTTGATCAAACTGTACGGAACCACTACTAAAAACCAATTGTATGCTTGTGTGTCTCTAGGCCCAAACCGAAGTCCTTCCGAATCAAGTTCTCTCTCTGGATGAAGCATCGTAAGCAGTCGACGACAGACAGCATCCCGGTGAAGAACATCATCATCCATCATGAATATAACCCTCAAACCTATGCGAACGACATCGCTTTGGTGCAGCTAGAGGAGCTGAATCTTTCAGACAAGTGCATGCAGGACAATCCCGCGGTCCGAGCCGTCTGCGTGCCCTGGTCCACCCAACAGTTCCAGCCCAACGACACCTGCACCATCTCCGGCTGGGGCCGCGATAGAGGTTCGGCTCTACATGTCAAATAATGCACAGAAATCAAAATCTCCATAGACTCACTAAAGAAGTTATAGAATTATGAATGACCATTTTTTTCTAGCTCTGGATTTGCATTCATATATTTACATCTGGTCAGAGAGAGAGAGAGAGACAGAAAAATAAAGAGTTGCATTCATGTGGAAGTCACATGTTTTGCAAACACTGCATAAATAAATATTGCATAAAAAAAAAAAAAAGAATGCGCCATGCATTTGCGAAAAAGCATGACGAATGAAAACATGTTCTAAAACCGGCTCAAAATATGAAATATATCTGAAATCCTCCAACTGGATGGAATCATAGTCTGAGGCTAAAGAAAAATCAGATTCTGAGGCTTTCAGCAACTTTCGCCAACCCGTCCCATGCTGCAAATCTGGGCAAAAGTTGTGTCATGTATTTTAGCCTTAAGAGAAGTTTGACAATTCTGTTTCCCAACATTCTAAATCCAACTGCAGTCAAGTTTATAATGTTGGTGTTTGTTGTTACAGTGTTGCGTTAACTGGTCTTATATTGAGTTTTTTTTAACTCCAGTGGTGGTAAAGTTGAGGTCTTATTATCTCTGTCTGTTTGTTTGAAGAGGGGATATCAGCAGCGATTCTAAAATGGGCAAATGTGACGATTATCAGCGACTGCCAGAATTTTTACAAGGACCGTTTCCTTCCTGGAATGGAGTGCGCAGGTATGTGTACGTCGTAATTCTGAATTTGTAATTGCGAGTTTGTCACGTTCAAGCACTTTGTTGCCCGAAAAAACAGGGATCGTGGAGAATGGCTCATTCATTAGTTCATTCTTGCCTATTTATTGGGGAAATCTTATTAAAGCCGAAATGCATAGTCAATATCCAACGGATTTTTAATAAAATGCAGCATCGGTAACCATATAAACATTCACTGCGCCTTCTAGATATTTAACTTGCTGACTTTGGTCAAATATGCTATTTTTGGCATGTACAAGACACATTTTTATACAATTTGCAACAAATGGTTATTTAAACACATAAATATACATGACTGTAATGACAAGAGAAAGCAATGTAGATGTTGTGGGAAAAAATGAATAAAACTTTACAGTATTACGGCTATATTTCTCTCCTCCGCCGTGTTTAGAGTTTATGACCCACCCAAACTCAGAAACACGCGTATCAAAATTTTCTGTTTTCCAGTTGTAAAAACGACTTGAGAGGCCGTTCATGTCCAATTTCCGACTACTAAACTCGTATTTACGATAATTCCAATAGCATGTGAAAGCAGCTATAACTTCAGAGATATAAAGATTACAGTCATGTATATTCACGTAGGCCTATATAATTAACCATTTGTGATTTAGATGTGATAAATAACCATATAGTATGAATTTTACACAGTAAAAACAGTGTTTACTTGACCGAAACTTAAGAATTGTCAGCAAGCTGACTATATAAATAGCGTAATGAATGTATACACTAGTACACTGTTCATATGGTTGGCAACAAACGGAACGCTACATTTTATTCACAATTCGTTGCATATTGATGAAATGTCTTAGATACATTCTGATTTTAATACGATTTCCACAAAAAATAGGCAAGAATGAACCTGGTGTCCTCCGTGATTCCTATTCTTTCCGACAGCGAAACACTTCAACGCGACAAACTCGTAATTACGACTTCAGAAGTTGGTAGTAGGAATTTTCCGATAGCACGAGGAAGGCAAGGCCCGGTAACGACACAGACGGACAATATCGTCATATGATGAACGATAAAAACATGGGCAGCCAATCAGAATCCACTCAACTTTAAAGAGCTCAAGCATTTAAAGTGGCAGACATTATAACTGCAGTGCACGCTTATAATAAACAGAACAATATTGCACATTTGTGAGGACGCTAATATTATCATTATAGTTTTTGTTATCCCAAACAACTTTGGTTTTCCTGCACAACAACAGATGGTTAGCAGAATGTTTGCTCTGCTTATTTCCATAAACTTTAAGCAGACAGTTATGGAAACCCGTTTCCAATAAAACGGTAATCGCTACTATTTATCTCAGAATTCAGATTTTCGCAATTTCTCACAAATCTGCCACATATAAACTCACAATTCTCAACCCGCAATAACATTATTTTTTATTCTGTGGTAGAAACAAAAAAACAGAAATGCATGACATATAAATGCTGAATTGCGAGATGTAAATTGTAAAAAATGTTACGTCTCAAAATTCTCACTTTTTTTCTCCTCAGAATTGCAAGTTTATATCTCGCCATTCTAACTTTTCTTTTCAGAATTGCAGAAAAAAGTCTGAATTGTGAGATTAAAAACTTTTACATTTTTTTATTTTTTTTATTCCAAGGTGGATATGGACTTTCATAGAAAGTGGCCAGAATCTGTAAAAAGCAATAAAATATTATTAAACAAATGTATCATAAGAGTTTGGCACGTTTATTTGTATAGCATTTTTCACAATATATTTTGAAAGTATTACTAGTACCTCCAGTGAAACTCCAAAGAAACCTTGGGAAGAAATAAAAAAAACAGTTTGAATACAAATGAGCAGATAAATAGCAATGCATTGTGTTTAATTTAATGGGTAAGCTTTAGTTACATGTAACATGTGCTAAGTGACTCTTCGTTCACCTGTTCCTGTGCTGTGATTGGTTGTTCTCTGTGTCAGGTGACCTGGAGGGGAAGGTGGACTCGTGTCAGGGCGACTCCGGAGGGCCACTGGTGTGTACAGACGCGTCTGGTTTGTCGTACGTGTGGGGAATAGTGAGCTGGGGTGATAAATGCGGCGAACCCAATCATCCTGGCGTCTACACTAAAGTGGCGCATTATTTCGACTGGATCCGCTTCCACACAGGCTGGCCGGCCGTTACCAAATTTAACCAGTAAAACGAAGGAACAGGCCAGTTCACATTTTCTGATTGATGTTACTTTATGTGCTATTTGTATGTTGCTATTAAAATTCTGATTATCAAGCAATTTAAAAGCTCAGTCCTGCCTCTTTTTTTGTTTCTAAGTGTTTTGTAGTTTGTGGTGATTTTGTGAAATTAAATGTTTTATGTTTCATTCACACAGCGGACACTTCTAATGTGAAATCAGATTTTAAACCACATATAAATGTCATTAAGACTAGATTTGCAAAAACTAGATTCTGTATTTTTATCTTGCAAATGCAAACTTGTTTTTGTATCCTCTCATCCTCACAGGCCTGTTTTAAACTTGAGATAAAAAAATAAAAAAAACACTTTGAGACAATTTTCTCCATACATAAATTCATTGTAGTTTAGTAGTCATTTAACATTTCTACCCCGCTAACAAAATATGTTCTGAGAATGTTTTGCCAACGTTCCCATTAAGTTATGAAAACATTATTTCTAAATGTTCTCAGATCATTCAAAACTCAAGATGTTTTAAAAACTTTTTTTCTTGGTTATTTTGAACGTTGGGAAAACATTAAGGCAATGTTCCATTTTACCATTGTGCAAACATTATGGGAACATTACTTTTGAATGTAACAACAGAATTGAACATTCTGAAACAAGTAGTAACTTGTAAAATACGTTAAACAAATGTCCAACTTCAACATTCCAGCAAAAAAACACTCAATGAACGACGTAAAAATAACATTTTGAGAACATAGGGGTTGCACTTGGGAGCCCAGACACCTCTGACATCATTGAGAAAAGGCCAATGGCCAATTGTGAGCAAAATTTGCATAGCTGGCCACGCCCCGGATATCCGGGTATAAATAGGCCAGCGTGGCATTAGCTCGTTCGCTCTGATCTTTGGAGCCGATGCAGCGTCTCTGTGAGAATTGCAGCATTCATTCACCTCTCGATCTTCTCGTCGTTGGATCTACGGCACAGACAGTGGTCTCTCCCTCTATACGCACAGCTAAGTGATGTGAAAGTACCCCTGGGTGCTTCAGCGGCAATCTTTGAGAGCTATTTCCTCTAAAAGAGCAAATCCTCTAAAATAGCAATTCACGGGTGAAATTGTGTGGTTTACATCATGCCTTTTCATCCGTGTCCTTCTGGTTGGGGGTTTTACATTTTGCCTTCTGACAGACACGATCGCTGCATTCATGTCCTCTTTGTGAGAACTTGCCCATGGGCACGCTCCGCTCGCGGCTTGCGTTCTTTACCAAAAGACCGTGAGTCACCCCTTCTGCTTCCCGTTCCGGTCCTTCTACTTCCGGGTATGAGGCCGCAGCGATGTGCGTTGGGGAAGAGTGTAGGGAGGAGGGAATGGCTCCGCCAGGTGACTCCCCGCAGACTTCCCGATCCTCCTATGTGTCGTGCATCCCGGTAGAGCTTCCGGATGGGTTTGAGAGCTTGTCTTTGGGCGAGTTCAATTTCTCATTCGGGGCTCGTGAATTAGACGAGGTATCACTCGTGGCATCGGAGGGTGGGCTAGAGCCATCTGACGCAGATGCCTCGGCGGAGCTAGCCCCCACGGGGGTTGACTTTCAGTCCGAGGCAGATGCTGAAATGGCAGCCGTGCTTGCCCGGGTGGCCAAAAGTATCGGCCTGGAGTGGTCTCCCCCACCCTGTCCCGAGCGCTCACGGTTCGATGATTGGTTTCTGGGTGCTGAGCGTGACTCTAAGCCACGACCAACCTCTGGGTTGGGACCGCCCTCGTGCAGCTCTTTCAACGCCTTGGCCTGGTAGACCTGCAGGATGGCCATGGCGTGCAGGGCGGACGCAGCTTGTCCAGAAGCTGTGTAAGCCTACGCCACGAGGGACAAAGAAAACATACAGGACCTGGACGGGAGTCTCGGATGGCCCCACCAAGTGGCGGAATTTTGCAGGCACAAGTGCACCGCAATAACTCTCTCCACCTGGGGGACCTCCGTATACCCCCTCGCTGGACCCCCATCGAGGGCGGTGAGGGCGGAGGATCCGGTATATCGTGTCCTGGCCAAGAAGAGGGCCTTCCACGATTTCGTCAGCCCTTATGCACCTCCGGGAAGAAAGGTACTGTTGCAGGAACTGTGCTCGGCGACTGACTACGCTCCCCCCGGGCTACGAAAGTCACGGCGCTCGGCTACACGATTAAGTTCGCTAGACGCCCGCCAAAGTTCAGTGGCATTCTCTTCACCTCTGTGAGAGGCGAGGATGCTGATGTTCTTTGAGCGAAGATCGTTACCCTTCTCTCGAAGGGCATTTCCTTCCTCCAGCAAGGCCTGGATAGAAGCCTGTCTGCCTCTACACTGAAGGTGTACGTGGCTGCCATTGCAGCTAATCACGACACCATAGACGGTAGATCGGTAGGGAAACACAATCTAGTTATCAGATTCCTAAGGGGTGCCCGGAGGCTAAATCCTCCAGGGCCGCGCCTCATCCCCTCTTGGGATCTATCTGTGGTCCTTCTGGTCTTACAGAGAAATCCATTTGAGCCCCTGCAGTCAGTTGAGCTCGGTGCCCTCTCTATGAAGACGGCCCTCTTGACTGCACTCACTCCTATTAAGAGGGTGTGGGATCTCCAAGCTCTCTCCATTAACGAATCGTGCCTAGAATTCGGGCCGGCAGACTCTCACTTTATCCTGAGACCCCGGCCTGGATATGTGCCCAAGGTCCCCACCACTCCTTTCAGGGATCAGGTGGTGACCTTGCAAGCTATTCCCCGACAGGAGGGGGACCCTGACCTGTCTCTGTTGTGCCCAGTGCGAGCCCTGTGCATTTATTTGGAACGCATGCAGAGTTTCAGATCTTCAGAACAGCTTTTTGTCTGCTTCGGAGGTCAACAGAAGGGGAATGCTGTCTCCAAACAAAGTATCTTCCACTGGATTGTGGATGCTATCCTTAAGGCCTATGAGGCCAGAGGCTTACCATGCCCACTGGGAGTGAGGGCTCACTCCACCAGGGGCGTCGCGGCTTCTTCAGCCTTAGCGAATGGTGCCTCACTAGCAGACATTTGTAAAGCTGCAGGTTGGGCTACACCTAACACATTTGCAAGATTCTATAATCTGAGAATGGAACCAGTTTCATCTAGGATGTTGAACACTAGTTCTTCAACTTAGATGGCTGGTATGGTGTAGAGCTTGCTTAGCGCTTCCCCTTTTTTGAGGTGAAATATTGCACTTATTTAGTCCAGTTCAGTTTCTTAGGAACCCTGGACTACCCTTCCATCACTTAGCACTTCTTGTGTAGTTGAGTTTTGCAGAGGAACTTACTACTTGAATCTATTACATGTAGGATCCCTCGAGTGATCTCTTGTAATAGATTGGTGCTCCATATGTAGTGGCTCCTATTGTGGCCTCATATGTGTATTATCCACTGCCTTGCCCTTATCAGGACTACGTGTTTCCCTTAGATGGACATCTGATCTGTCTTGTTTCTGTGCTTGGTAGTTCTCCCCCCACGCGGAGCACATCACAGAAACCTTCCCTATGTAGTACTCCCCTTCAGTGAGTCCATAGGTTGTATACCCACGTTACCTCCCCAGGTTGGGTAGGATGCAGTCTTCATAGTGTTCTTTCTCCGCTGCGGAAGAGAACGCTTCCCAACGTTATCAACCAGGACTTTTCAGCTTTTTCATCTGAAGTCTTATTTTAAAAGAGAAAAGGCTAGAGAAAAGGTCGCTCCCAAGTGCGACCCCTAGTGTGGGACTTCGACACAATGTCTCCATTCTCTCCATCAGGGAACGAGGGTTACCATACGTAACAGAGATGTTTTCGGGTTCAGAACAGCTGAATTGAGTTCAATCGACTCTGAGTTTAGCGCATGCACCACGACTATGAAAAACCATGATCAATGGAGCTCCGAAATAATGAATCACCATGGCAACAGCACCTGACAAAAAGACGTCTGCATACTTCCGAGTCAAAGCGTAAGTTTAATTCTTAATCACTGTTATAATATCAGAGGTGAAAACTGTAAATTATTGAACTAATATTCATTTTCATGGTATCCCATGAGTCCCACGGAAGAAAAAAAATCCCAATGAATTAATGCAGCCTCCTCATCTACAGGATCCTGTATAAAAGGAAATGCCATTTTTGTCACTTTGACGGTTTCTGCGCAATGAAAATAATGTGCAATGAATGAATGTACCAGCACTGCAAAAAATGCTTTTCTTAGAATTTTTGTCTTCTTGTTTCCAGTCAAAATATCTAAAGATTCTTAAATCAAGATGCATTTTCTACACAAGAAAAGGGACATAAGATATTTAGTCTTGTTTCCTGTGGGAAAAAAAAAAAATTAGAAAGTGCATTTTTCTTATTTTGCAAATTATCTGCCACTGGGGTAAGAAAAATATATTTAAAAAAAATCTTGTTTCCATTTGCATTAAGATTATGTTTCTTGCCCTATGGCCAATAATTTTAATTGTATTACTTAAAATGCATTTAAATGCACTCGTTTCCCCCAGGATACAAGACTAAATATCTTATATCATTACTTGTATATAAATGCATTTTGATTTAAGAATTTTTCGATATTTGTACTTGAAATAAAACAAAGATACTCAGTGAGAAAAGCATTTTTGCAGCATGAATGAATGATTTAAACATCGCTTACGCTTTTAAAAGGCAGAGTAGACCAAAAGAAACTCTGGGTTTAATGAAGAAAACCTGCTCCCGACCAGGTTAGACTCACAGAGTAAGTTATCATGGTAACTGAGTATAACTTACCTCTCTTTCAGAGCTGGTTGCTGAAACCACGCCCACCTAGCACGACGGTGGTGACAGCAGTGGCAATCCACCTGTCACTCAAGTGGCCACGCCCTTAATTATGCAGAACTTTAAGGCTTAATATAATTTAAACGGATGAGTTATAAAAAAATTCACCCCCCTCACAGTTGTCATGAAGGGCAAAATTAGCTATATAGACCAAAATCATTTTTTGAACCAGGCTGTAAACATGTTTTTTTCTGCTGTAAAATTGGGCATTTTAACATGGAGAGTCTATGGGCATGGTAACTGAGTATAACTTACCTCTCTTTCAGAGCTGGTTGCTGAAGCCACGCCCACCTAGCTCGATGGCGTGGTGTCAGCAGTGGCAATCCACCTGTCACTCAAGTGGCCACGCCCTTAATTATGCAGAACTTTAAGGCTTAATATAATTTAAACGGATGAGTTATAAAAAAATTCACCCCCCTCACAGTTGTCATGAAGGGCAAAATTAGCTATATAGACCAAAATAATTTTTTGAACCAGGCTGTAAACATGTTTTTTCTGCTGTAAAGTTGGGCATTTTAACATGGGGAGTCTATGGGACTGACTCCCTTTTGCAGCCAGCCTCTAGCGGCCAGTTGATGAATTACAGTTTAAGTCACTTCCTTGTTGGTTTCACGAGAGAGAGCGGGAGGTTGCCGCTTGGAGTTTTCACTAAACCTCCTTTCTGAAACAGGCCTCAGATAACTTTAAAGAACATTGTGATACAGGAAGACATTTTTCATAACATTGAGAGAACCTTGCCAGAACGCTGAGAACATTCCCTGTTAGCTGGTATATCTCAAGCACACAAACACAAAGTTAAGGTGATCTGGACAATTTCAAGAATTCCTTCTTGGTTCATTGACGAAACATCTTTAATTCATTCAAAAAAGGTTGAAATACTGAATTGATTCAGTAAAGTTTTTAGGGTTGAGAAATTCTTTTTTCTACGATTCCTCAGCTTATGCACTTGCTGCACTTTCAGTTTTCCCTGACTAGTCTTCTTTTTAAGTTGAAAACATATATGAATATTGGGGTGTTTTATCACATTTGACGTTATTTAGTTCATGTTTGTTACTTGGCTCATGTGAGTAGCTATCTTTCTGTAGCCTTGTTTTTATTAACTGAGTAAACGGTTTTTATTGACTAGCGCAAAACTGATATTGACGCAATACCAACCGCTTTGACCTTTCCGGGCAGAGGCTGCTGTTTTTCTCCTCCCTGTCTGTCTGATTCAGTCTGATGTCAGGCATCTGTTGAGCGCGGTTAATCAGAGTCGACAGGATGAAGAGAAGAACAGAGACATCTAGAGAAAGAGCTGCAGGAGTCATGAGGGTTGTTTTTTTCTTCACGTGTCTTCTCTTCCAGACCGCCGTGAGTATCTGTGTATCTGATATATTAAATGAATCATTCAATGATTAATAGAGTAATTCATCTCATTAACTCTGAAAATGGGTTATGACGACCTTTCTACACTGCGGAATCTTGATCACAGTGGCCTTGTTTTCCAGTAAAACGTCCTTATGTGAAGGATTGCAAAAGATTTTGCAAAATAAACGTGATCAGGATCAGTTCTAGTATCGCCCACTTATTACACGGCAGCTTATCAAATAAATACAAAACATGCACATGAAACTTTGATTTGAGTTTAAATTACTTCATTATTTTGCAGATTTACTTCAATCTATTAGGAAGCATATCCAAAAACACACACACACAAAAAATAGTGAAACATGAAAAATATATAATTTATAAACAAATCCAAAATGATCCCGAGTTGAAGGACATGGTTAAATAGATATCACAGATTTTATGCTTAATATATTTACTCATTTTAGTCTAAATACACCCGAATGGATTAATGACTTTGAGAATTCTTTAGAATAATGATAATAATAAAATAAATAAAAAGTTCAGGAAGAATTAATTGCACAAAATTTGTTTAGTGTTGTTCATCCTTTTGACCACCAGATGACTATGTAATAAGCTTTGAACAATTAATATTTTCAATGCAGGTCAGAAAAAGCCTCTATGCTTTGCCACAAGGAAAACACTGCAACAATATTATATTCTATATTATTTGTAATCATATCCTGCAACCTATGTGACATGTCTTCTTCTAGTTTAAAGGGATAGTTCACTCATTTACTCACCCTCATGTCCTTCCAAACCTGTATGACTTTCTTCCTCTGAGGAAAAACGAGATATTTTGGCATTGTAAATGTGCTCGACTACTATAGACGAATTAATCTCACGTTTTTTTCTCTTCATTTCTCCTGCCCAAAACACAATGGTAATTTTCCTATAAATAGTGTTTACATTATTGAGATTGATAGCATGTTATTATTATTTATTCAACTACAGTAACATGCTAATGGACTGATGTATGTTATGTATTATTTCATCTGATTAGAGTCTGGACAATCAACCAGCGCCTGAGCAAAATTATAAGAGCAAGGACTTGGATAATAAAACCGATTTAGGCTTGAAGGAAAAAAATGGTGACCTTTTGGGGGAAAACCCTGAACTAGAGTCCCACCAAACAGTGTCACCATTGGGATTTCCAAAACCCAGAACTTTATCAGAACATTTAAATCCCAACACCAACTCACAACCCAAAACTGATTCAAATCCCAAACCCCCAAAAGTACTTGATGAGGATTTCTTGGGTCCGGCCCAGTGTCTGAATCAGAAATACACATGGCTGTCTTGCTCTAAAGTGTTTTGTCCTCCATGGAGGCGATGCATCGGAGGACAGTGTGTCTGTAAGATGCCGTACAAATGTCCACGGCTGAAAAACACCTGTACTCTGGACGGATCCGTGTATTACTCCATGTGTCAGGCCAACGCCATCTCCTGCAGAACCAAGACGCCCACTTTCTCACACTTCAGCTCATCCTGCAAAGGTGAGACGTGAAGACTTGAACTTTAATCAGAGTAAAAACTTTTGTGATTAAACTTTTAAAACTAAAAAAAAATTTAAACTAAATGTTCATTAAGAATTGTTCCATGACTTGCTCAGCAATGGATGCTCTGCAGTGAATGGGTGCCGTCAGAATGAGAGTCTGATAAAAACATCACAATAATCCACAAGTAATCCACAGCACTCCAGTCCATCTATTTTGTTAAAGGCTCTTCATAACAGTGTCTTGTTTTTTTAAAGATAATTTTCTCAAGAAGTTACAAGTACAACTTTAAAACTTGAAACTTAATGTTTATGTCCAGCGGGAGACAAGGTGCATGTGAGCGTCTCTAAGTCTCATAACGTGGTCGAGATAAAAACTCGTTTGGGGAAAATGCTGGTATGTGGCAAGGACTGGAATATGGCTGCAGCAAATGTGGTTTGTCGAAACCCTCTGAATGTCGACAGGTAAACACACCTGCACACAAGACGTCCTTTCTCTCGACTCAACATGTACTGATTGCTTACATTGTTCTTTCTGTCTCTCAGAGGAGCAGAGAATGCGTCTAAAATCAAATATATATCTCTTGGTAAAGCTACTCAATGGCCAAATGAGTGTATGAGGATTCATTACTTGTGGATTATTGTGATGTTTCTATCAGCTGTTTGGACTCTCATTCTGACGGCACCCATTCACTGCAGAGCATCCATTGCTGAGACACTGATGCAGTGCTACATTTCTCCAAACCTGAATATTATTTTGTTAAAGGCTCTTCATAACAGTGTCTTGTTTTTTTAAAGATAATTTTCTAAAGAAGTTACAAGTACAACTTTAAAACTTGAAACTTAATGTTTGTGTCCAGCGGGAGACAAGGTGCATGTGAGCGTCTCTAAGTCTCATAACGTGGTCGAGATAAAAACTCGTTTGGGGAAAATGCTGGTATGTGGCAAGGACTGGAATATGGCTGCAGCAAATGTGGTTTGTCGAAACCCTCTGAATGTCGACAGGTAAACACACCTGCACACAAGACGTCCTTTCTCTCGACTCAACATGTACTGATTGCTTACATTGTTCTTTCTGTCTCTCAGAGGAGCAGAGAATGCGTCTAAAATCAAATATATATCTCTTGGTAAAGCTACTCAATGGCCAAATGAGTGTATGAGGATTCGCTGCATGGGATCTGAGCTCTCATTGGCCGAGTGTACGATCCATAATCCAGAGCCAATCACAGCAAACACTGAGGTGGCCGTCGCAAAGTGTTATAAGGAGCCTACAGGTGCCCTTTCCTCTCGGATGTCGTCACCATGTTAATGTTTAATGTTAATCTGTTGTTTGACACTTCTCTCACTCACACTGATGGGTTTTCTCTTGAGTAGGCGAATGTAAGAAGTTCATCTGTGTGAACGGGAAGTGTTTAGGCCATGAAAAAACCTGCAATGGTGTTGATGACTGTGGAGACAACAGTGACGAGATGTGCTGCCAAAGTGAGCCTGACATCATTATTCCTGTTTTCTCATTTTCCCATCAGTTGTTCCCTTCATGCCAGTGTTTAGAAATAAAGCACATTTTTTTATGAAATGTATTAATTTGCAATTTTGTTAACCATAATAATTCAAATAATAAAATATACCTATAACATTCATTTCAATGTTATAATTTCAATGTCAATATAAAATAAACCTATTCATCTAAAACTCAAACACATCCAGTGCATGATGCATCCAAGATATTTTATCAGGAGTATTCAGTGCTACTTGAACAAGGGATGTCATTGGTTAATCGACGATCGATAAGAGATGTAATCAATTAAAGCTAATGATGGTCGATTAAGCAATTTAGTTTTGGGGTGCGTGTGGCTCATGCGCAAAACACGTGCAGCAGACATGAAGAAATGGCTGTGAGTGACCGCGTCGGGGCTTGATCTTTTGCGCAAATAATTCATTAATTTTTGTGCTGTGTGTGCACTTGGATCACATCATGTCACTTAATTGGTTCCCTAGATAACCCATGATTTAACTAAAATGAGAGAACAAATTAATAAGTCTTAGGAACGAATTTTTAATTCCACGAAATCTTTCATTCCCCCCGCATGTCATGTCAATCTCCGTAAAAATAAACTTGACGTGCCTTGTCTAACAAACACAAACTGTGTTGAAACTGAATGTGACAAGAGATAAAGACTAGATTAAGATAAAGATTTCCATCAAATAATTAGGTTAGTTTAGGCTAACAATGCTGTCTGTCGTTTTGGCGAGTAAAAAGGATATGGTTTCACTTTTATTTTGACCAAAGATGCAAAAACAGGGATTAAAAGTGAACGACAAGAAAATAAACCTGCAAAATTAGAGTGTGAGACAGTGAGGATTTGGGAAAAGGAAAAATAAATATTATTAAATTTGTGGAAATTCGTGACCAACCTGCAAAACAGAACGAAAAGCCACGTATGGCTTAATTTAAATTTATGAGCTCATCGGCTACCTCTTGAAAGGCATGAATCCAAAAGCATCGTCACGTTGTAACATTTGCCTGCAAACCAATTATTTCTCTTGTAAACAAAGTGTTGTACCTCACTTGTGTCATATCCACATAAAATGTTTCATATGAGCAACAGTAGCCACTTTTCCACTGTCGGGCCAGTGTGAGCCAGTGCTTTCAATGGGCCAGGTGGGGTTAAAAGCCTCAGACCTGTAGCACCGAGACTAAAATCACACTGCGTTTCCACCGTCGGGCCAGAAGAAGGTCAGAGCAGTCCGTGAGCTCTCACCCCCATGCAATGTTCAGGAGTTAAAACTGTGTTGGTGGCTGATACGCACTCATGAAGCGCACTAGCATGCAGGGAAAATGACCTCAACACACACTCTGATGTGCAGTGTTACACTGCTGCTATTGCTGAAGGCATGCCCGCAAGCCCAGCAAAACTTCAAGTCATTAGGGCTGCTACACTGGCAGAGTATTATTACATTTGTTACTTCTGTCCCCCTCACTTCTGAAATGATGGCTATATGCCCCTGCCCACGACTTTATTGTTGCTGGCATAAAGCAGACTGATCCTGATTTTACTGTTTCTGCTGTGTGAAGAATGTCGAGGCCAGGCGTTCCTCTGTAAGTCGGGTGTCTGTATACCCCAACACGCCTTCAAAGATGGAATCAGGGACTGTCTGGGAGGAGAAGATGAACTCGATGGTAACTATAATAAAATAAAAACCTTAAACTCATTTTATTTTAGCTAGTTGCCAAGGCAACTTTTTTTCATTTTCATTCAGTTTAACATTTTCGTTTAGTTTAACTTCACATACTAAAATAACAGGAAGTAAATAAACTATGTAGTCATATAAAAAAAAAAAAAAATCAAATTAAATAAATAAAACTAAGTGACAAAAACTTTAAAATTAAAGTAAAAACAAAATATAAAAATAAAAACTAATTCAAAATATTAGCAAAAACTATAATAGTATATCAATGATACTAAAATAACACTGGTTTTAGTTTTAGTTAACTATAACTTTCTTAAGATGGTTAAATCTATTGGGTGATTGGAACGTTCCTGTACAGGCTTGAAACACATCAAAAGTTGTTTTTGTTGTGTTCTCTTCATTGTGTTACAGAAACTGACAAAGCAGTAGTAAATAGAGCAGAAACATTTTTTTTCGATCCAACATCAGGTAAGTAAAAACTCATCAACTTATACATATATCATATATTTTTTGCATAGCAAGTGTCTGAGACAAAAGATTAAGAGTGTATTCACATGATTTCAGGTAAGAAATCATACAGATAAATCACCTTTATGTTGTTCCAGAGATCAGAGACGCAGTGTGGCGTTCCCAATATGGAGTACGAGTACAAACAAGACGATCACCATTCACGCCGGAAACGTTTGGCAGGATGGGAAGAGACCTTACCGGTCAGTCCAGACACTCAACCATACAACTACTGAAAGATGCTTTATAAAATTACTAACAAAACGCATCATAAACCAAGTACCAAAACCAAGTCAAATCAAATTTACATTGTCCAATGTGAAACAATTCACATTGTTTTAAAGCAGCTTCACAAGTCATGATGCTAATGTTTATAATACCGACACCGTGTCCAAACCAGATGCGATAAAATCAATCAAATAGCACAGCCAATCAGAAGAGTGTGTGGGCAAAGCCTCTCTCTGCATGCACACTGTACCAGAGTAGATACAGAGTAGTAGATGATCTAATGAACACATATTAAACCATTTTAAAATGATTAAAAACACACACTAAGCGACTGTTGTCAATCTAAAACAACAACATCAATTAATTTTAATCGCTAAATGGACAAAATAACACTAGGCAGCAAATGTCTATTTGAGGACATTTAATGCTCTGTATGTGACCTTTGCCCTGCAGACTCAGATACAGTGGCAGGTGGCCATTCAGGACGAAGGCCTGTTCCACTGCGGAGGGGCGTATTTGGGCGGCTGCTGGGTTTTGACCGCCGCCCACTGTGTCAGGTACAACCAATAACGCTGCCAAACCATGTCTTTGTCTCCACCAATTCACTTTTGGTCAACTAGTACAGTACATACCCGTTCAGAACAGCTACTGTGCTTTTTCGTGTCTCTAGGCCCAAACCGAAGTCCTTCCGAATCTACTTCTCTCTCTGGAAAAACCATCGTAAACAGTCAACGACGGACATCATCCCGGTGAAGAATATCATCATCCATAATGAATATAACCCTCAAACCTACGCGAACAACATCGCTTTGGTGCAGCTGGAGGAGATGGATGTTTCGGGCAAGTGCATGCAGGACAATCCCGCGGTCCGAGCCGTCTGCGTGCCCTGGTCCACCCAACAGTTCCAGCCCAACGACACCTGCACCATCTCCGGCTGGGGCCGCGATAGAGGTTCGGCTCCCAGTCAAATACAACCTACAGGAATCAGGAGGAGTATTTGGCACCGTTTGAGGGCTTATTGTCTCTGTGTGTGTTTGGATTTTCAGCATCGACTCTGAAATGGGCAAATGTGACGCTTATCGGCGACTGCCAGAATTATTACAAGGACATTTTCCTCCCTGGAATGGAGTGTGCAGATATGCGAGCGTTTCATAATCTGTGATGTCTAGCAGGTTTGGATTGTCTAGTGTCCTAACTTTTTAGCGTAACATGTATTATCTGTCTTAGAGTTTTTAGTTATGAGCAAGTTTTCCTGAGTTGTTCTGGTTAGCTCGTTCTGTCCACCTGTTGTCTTGTTAGTCCTTGTGTTTAAAATACCTTGAGTTTCCTCTTAGTCTCGCTCTGTCTTCGTTTACGATTGTGTTTGGTAGTGCGTATCCCTGTTCTTCAGCGAGTTTGATATTAAACAAGTGTTCCTAAATTTTCTCCTTCATTGTGCTACTGTTTGAGACTACCATTCTGTAACATTTAACCCCTTTCTGTTTGCTCCGTTTTGTCAAATACCGTACTTCAAACTCATTGACGCAACTTTGTTCATTCTTGGTGAACATTTGCCTGTTTAGTAATTGTAACTGTTTTTGACTGCTGTCTTGAACTGAACGCAACTGTGAGTTGTCCGGTGCTTCGCTTCTCGTCCAGTGTACAGCGTAACAAACATGTGCCTTGAATGCATGTCTAACTCTTAAGTTGTTTTCATTTAGGGTGTAGTTCTCTCAAAAATGAAGCTCACCCTCAGGTTCTTCCAAACCTGTATGACGTGTATTTTCTGTAATAAAAGTCACAGATTTTATCACCTGAAACGTGCTGCGACTCATATTCCAACGTGATTTATATAACGCAATTATATACACATTTGGATTCGTCCATGCGAAAAAAAAGAAGCCAACACCAGCCTATGCAGGTTGTCTTGACTTAGCTGGTTTAAGCTGGTCTCCCAGCTAAAGAATCGGTCAAAACCCCTCTAAAACCAGCCTGCTACACGCATTCCCCACACAATGCTAGTTTCAAATAAATTCATTTAGGCTTTGCGCTTAATATTAACTGTTGTTTATAATGAATGCCAGCCACTATAATTTATCATTTGTTTTATACTTACATATTTCATTCCCTTTCTGTTCTGTTACAGTTAAATGCAAAGGATTTGTTGTGAAGTGAAAACTAAAATGTTTATGTTTGTATACATTTCGTTTTTATTTAACAGTAATTATACATTATTTCCGAATGCAATCATAAAATGTGACGGTACTTCCTTTACTTTTTCTTTTCTTTACTTTTACTTTTCCAAGCAATTTCAATGAATATAGAATAAAAAAGGCACAAAGACGCCAGAAAAGTGATTTAATCAATTTCACGTCTTCAAATATAAAATTGCCAAAGTCACGTGCTTTCAGTAAATGAGGCTTTATGCATAACTGTTTGAACCAGTGCCTATGTGTTTTTTTTTTATCTGATCTCGGATCAGTTTTATAAATCTGCGGACATTTTTTAGGATATTTTCCTAAATATTTTTCACTCTTATTGGCCTAATTAAACAAACTCTCCATAAAGCAAACAAAAAAAGCCCTACAATGTAATATTATACAGACACTTCATATTTAATGGTATTAGATGATTTGTTAATTGCATTTAATATATTATACTTACAGTAAAACATTTGCATGTTTGGTGTTTTTATGCATGTTTGGGCTGGGTTTTTGTTGCATTTACCTAGTTTTGACCAGCATGTGGTGCTTTGAGCGATTCGAAACAGTGAATCATTTTGTGATTCAATTGATTCAAAGTTTCGAAAAGCTTCGTTTCTCCCGTCACTTCCTCTGGTAGCGGGATGCTGTTGAATAACGCTGTGATTGGTTGTTCTCTGTGTCAGGTGACCTGGAGGGGAAGGTGGACTCGTGTCAGGGCGACTCCGGAGGGCCGCTGGTGTGTACAGACGCGTCTGGTTTGTCGTACGTGTGGGGAATAGTGAGCTGGGGTGATAAATGCAGCAAACCCAATCATCCTGGCGTCTACACTAAAGTGGCGCATTATTTCGACTGGATCCGCTTCTACACAGGCTGGCCGGCCGTTACCAAATTTAACCAGTAAAACGAAGCAACAGACCAGTTCACATTTGCTGATTGATGCTGTTACCGCATGCTGTGTGCTTTTGGTTTTTCTCCTATTAAAGTGCTGATTACACATCTACAATCCACACGTCTCATACTTTATGCTGGATGTTTTTATTAAACCCAGATTATCATAGTTTGCATTTTTATTGCATATTTTCACCATAACTGTACAGCAATTACTTTCAAAATATCATTTTTATGGTGTCCTAAAATGTTACAGCGTTAGTTGACAGACAGAAATAGGTGATTATACGAGTAATATTTAGGGCTGGGTTTTGACACAAATTCACGATTCGATTTGAATCTCATTCACAAGCTTGCGATTCGATTTGATTACCAATTCGATTCGATTCGATTCAATATCGATTATTTTGGATATACTGTATATCAGGTACAGTACATGCCAATTTTTCTCAAGGAAAAAAAATCTAAACTTAATGCTGTAAAATATACATGAGAGTCACAACATTACTATAATATTGAAGGTTAAAATTAAGTTTTTACAATAATAAAGTTACAGTTACATATTAATATTTCTACTTCAATTCGTTTTTTTTTTAAATATAAACATTTAAAAGGTGGCTGTCATAAAAACTTGATGGATTTATTCAAACATAAATTAAACATTGAAGAACAGTAAAAATTATAATGAATATGTTATATGGTGCATATACTAAGCAAAAAAATTCTCCACTCTACAGTTTATTTTTCTATCTGACTAATGAGTTTATGGTCACCGAATATGTTTTTTTCTGAGGTAAATGTAACGTTATGTACGTGACATTGTTTACAAGCCGTTATATTGACGTCTTTGCGCTGCTGAAACACTGATTGAGCGATTACATGAGACAGGATACGGATTGTAAAGTTGTACTCTGCAATATTATTATGATTTTAGAGTGCATTATAGAACTTGAAATGTAATATGTTTAATATTATTCATTATTGTACATTGTTTTATTAATAATTAAGTTCAGTGGTCAAATAAATTATCAAAATTTATGAGATATACCATAAGTAATAAATTAAGAAACACTGCATATACACATGTATAAGAATTGCAAAAATATATTTACAGTATATTTACAGTGGAGAGAAATCCCTATGTAATGGTAGGTTTCGTTGTATTTTGATTATATATACTAAGAATAAACATTCAGGAAACTTATATATATATATATATATATATATAAAATGCAAGTCCAGCCTCAATAAAGCATGTTTTATTTTCTACACAAACTTGGTATTTGTTCGTAAGAATGAGAGAATTCAGAAATCAGACACACTTACAACAACCATTTTTTTTCTTCTCCAAAAATTATATTTTTAATAAATTTAATAAATTTTAAGTGTTTCTAATTATTGAATGATCATTCTTATTTTGCTCATATATATATATATATATATTTTTTTTTTTTATCTGTGCCATTTGTTTTTATCTGTGCATCTGTTTTTAAACAATATATTTTTATCTGTGCTCTATTTTATTTAAATCTTTGCTCTATTTTATATAAATCTGTGCTCTATATTTTAGGGTTGGGCCGATGGCTGATAGACATCACGATGTTGAGCTGGCATCGTGATCCCCCCCCGCATCCCAATACCGTGTTCGGAAAGAAAATTACGATTACGAAGAAATTAAACAGAGCCGTTGTTCACTGACGAGCTGCGCAAAAAATCGCGCGAATATGAACGTGGTT